GGCTTAAACTACCAGTGCCTGGCTTTAGGTTGCCGCATTTCTTTACAAGTGATACACTCTGGTTACTTAATTAGTTTTAGACTGCGGTTACTAATATATCTAAAGAGTGGTTCTATGTCAACAGTGTAACAAATGGATGTACTTTTACAGTATACCTCTGTCAGGGGTGAAAGACTAATATTAAGAATAATGCAAATTAAAACCACACTAAGATTCCACCTCACCCCTGTTAGAATAGCCATCATCAGCAACACCACCAACAACAGGTGTTGGCGAGGATGTGGAGATGAGAGGCCCTCAGGAGGGGAGGAATAGCAGCAACAGGTGTGGCGAGGAGGGAAAAAGGAACCCTTTACACTGTTGGTGGGAATGTAGACTAGTACAACCACTCTGGAAAAAAATTTGGGGGCTACTTAAAAAGATGGACATCGATCTACCATTTGATCCAGCAATACCACTCTTGGGGATATACCCAAAAGACTGTTACTCCAGAGGCACCTGCACATCCATGTTTATTGCGGCACTATTCACAATAGCCAAGTTATGGAAACAGCCAAGATGTCCCAGCACTGACGAATGGATTAAGAAAATGTGGTATCTATACACAATGGAATTTTATGCAGCCATGAAGAAGAACAAATGTTATCATTCGCTGGTAAATGGATGGAATTGGAGAACATCATTCTGAGTGAGGTTAGCCTGGCTCAAAAGACCAAAAATCGTATGTTCTCCCTCATATGTGGACATTAGATCAAGGGCAAACACAACAAGGGGATTGGACTATGAGCACATGATAAAAGCGAGCACACAAGGGAGGGGTGAGGATAGGTAAGACACCTAAAAAACTAGCTAGCATTTGTTGCCCTTAACGCAGAGAAACTAAAGCAGATACCTTAAAGCAACTGAGGCCAATAGGAAAAGGGGACCAGGAACTAGAGAAAAGGTTAGATCAAAAAGAATTAACCTAGAAGGTAACACCCACACAGGAAATCAATGTGAGTCAATGCCCTGTATAGCTATCCTTATCTCAACCAGCAAAACCCTTGTTCCTTCCTATTATTGCTTATACTCTCTCTACAACAAAATTAGAGATAAGGGCAAAATAGTTTCTGCTGGGTATTGAGGGGGGGAGCGGAGGGGGCGGATTGGGTGGTAAGGGAGGGGGTGGGGGCAGGGGGGAGAAATGAACCAAGCCTTGTATGCACATATGAATAATAAGAAAAATGAAAAAAAAAAAAAATAAAAAAAAAAAAAAAAGAATGATCAAGGGCTTGTATCAACAAAGCCTGAAGTCTGTGCACGTGGGAGCAGAGGAATGCAAGTTTGAGGCAGTCTGGGTTATGGAGGGAGTACCAGGCCAGCCTGAGCTACATAGTGTGATTCTTCTCAAAAAAAAAAGCAAGGGCTGGGGATGTTAGCTCAGGGAGTTGCTTGTCTTCTAGCAGTAACCAAAGGCCCTGGGTTTGGTTGCCAGCACCCCTCCTCCCCAAGGGCTGAGGGTCTTTAGAACTCAGTAGTGGGTACTGTAGCTCAAGTGCGTACAAGCACTTCTGAGAGCACATTATACCTAGTATGGTAGAAGTCCTGTCGGTAACTCCTGCAAGCATTATTTATAATCAAAATAAAATAAAAAAATAAAGGGAAGCCAGCATTCTTGGTGACGTTGAGTAGCTTGATAATCAAGAAATAAACAAGTGGTTTCACTCCCAGTGTTGCTCGGGATATATGTGCTCATTTCCTATCCAAGGCATTCTTATTTATTATTCCTTGTGGAATGCAGAGGACAGGGTAACATGCGTGTGGAGCTGCCTTGTTGCAGTAACTTGGTCACTTAAGATGAAAATGTGAACTTTGGCCTATATACCCTTGCTACTGATTTTCGGGCAATCTGCTTTATCGTCTAAAGCTACGGGGGTTCCCTCACTGGTTCTTTGTGAACTTTGGCCTCATATACCTTGTACTGATTTTAGGCAAATCTGTTTATGTCTAAAAGCTAAGGGTTCCCTCACTGTCTTTTTAGAAAACAACAAAAGCTCACGGTGGATTAATTGACATCCTCAAATTGTTTCAACATCCCTTAAATGAGATGCTAGGTCAAGTCCAAGCCTGATCTAGATTTCAGGGTCTAAGTTGTGGGTTCATTTCTTCCTCATCTGGAAGAACTGGGCTCTGAGGCAGAGACATGGACTAGGGATGTGTTCTGTCAGTGTTCAATGAGGTCTACTTGGTACTTGAGCCACTCTGCCAGCCCCAATTCCTCATTAAGTTAGATGTAACTGATGGTCACTGAAATATGTAGAAATAATAATAGCAACTAACATTTATTAAGTGCTTCCAGTATACACTTAGGTGCTATATGCTTTACATATATTATTTCATTTAACTTTTATAACAATTTTATAAAATAGAAAGTTTTCTTATGGCTCTGAACAAACCCATCACTAATACTAGGGAAATAACTCATACAGGGTATGAGTTTACCCATATATAGTAAATCAGTAATGTCACCAGGAACCTGGCATGGTGGAGTATGCCTGTACTACCAGAACTGGGGAGGCTAAAGTAGGAGGATCAAGAGTTTTGGGCTAGCTTGGGCTACACAGTGAGACCTTGTTTCAAAAAAAAAAAAATAATAATAATGATAACAATAACAATAAAACCACGACACAGAGAAGTTAGCTCATGGTAAGGCATACTAAAGCATTTTTTCTTTTCTGGAACAGCTCATTAGGCTACCATGATAACTTTCCTGCCCCTGTTCCTTTTCCATTTCCTTTGCTGAACCCTCCTCATCTTATTTTCCTCTTCCCTCCTCCCTTCCTTCCTATCTTTCTGCGTGCCTGCCCGCCTTTCTTTTTTCACTCTACAGCCCAGATTGTTTCAACCTTTCCATCCTTTCCTTTGTCTCCTCAGCCTCTCTCCTCCCTTCCTTCCTAATGCTGGCCCTGCCTTTCTTTTTCATTACAGGCCCAGATTGTTTTCAACCTTTCCTCCTCTACTTCTGGCGGGATTACTTCATTTTAACCTCCAAATTTATGTTCACTACAGCCACACACCTAATTATCTATACCTATCTTCATTTGGATGTTTAACAGGTCTCAGATCTGCCATATCTAAGTCAGAGTTCAAATACGTTCCTCAATCTCAGCAAATGGCAGCTCCATTCTCCCTCAGGTTCAGGTGAAAACCTTCAGGACCATCTCTGACCCTACTTTCTCTGTTTTTGGCAGTACTGGGGTTGGAACTCACAGCCTCACACCTGCTAGGCAGGCGCTGTACTACTAAACTACTCCACCAGTCTGCTACTCCTTCTCTTAACCGAATCCATCAGAAATTCCTGAGTGCTTTATCCTCCAAATAGAATCTGATCACTTCTCTCAATCACTCCAACTCTAGACTAGGTCATCTTTATTTTCCATCTCAGCTAGGCTAATCTCACGTCCCAACTCTGGCCTTCACACTTGCTAGGCAGGCGCTCTACCACCCCAGCCAGTCTGCTGGGTATTTTCTTTCTTATGTTGGGTATTTTCAAAATAGGCTTTCTGCAACTATTTGCTGGGGCTGGCTTCGAACTGCAATTCTCTTGATCTCTGCCTCCTGAGGAGCTAGGATTACAGGTGTGAGCCACTGGTGCCCACTCAGCTTTGCTTGTTGTCATGCAATCTTAGGTATATGGCCCATAAGGCAGTCATTGTTTAAAAACTAACTTATGAACCTATAAATTACCCATAACTGTGAACTCATCACTTAGCCTCCAAAAGGAACATTTTGCCAATCTTTTATCCATGCATCTCCCTCCTTGCTTTCTGTCCTGTTTTAGTGGAGTACTTGAAAACAAATCCCAGCAAAACCATCCTCTTAATGACCACATCACATTGCTCACAACGTTCCAGTTGCTTCTGTTTTAGTAAAGGACAAATTTTCTATCACAACCTAAGGCCTATGTGATCCGTGACTATTCCATCTCCAGACCTAGTTGGTGTCCCTGTCTCAGCTACATTACAGCGCCTCCAATCTCAGTACCAGAACCATGTGGACGACTTGTTCAAACTCAGATCGCTGGCTTCCGGTTCCAGATGTAGTGGGTTTGGAGTAGGACTGTGAATTCCCATTTCTGACAAGTCCCCAGATGTCCAGCTACCAGCCACACACACCGTTCTTCCCGTCCCTCCACAGAGCAGGCAGGATCCTGCTTAGGAGTCTGCACTGATCTTGTCTTGGCCCCGGGCATTTTCTGCATTACTCAAGGCTCATCTTACTCCATCTTTGTTTAACTGATAGCTTTTGAGGACTTCCCCGACCACTCCTAAAACAGCACCGCGTCTTCCTTACCCTGATTTTTTCTTTTTTTGCATCGTTTCTCTTACCGAGTCTAGATTGGCATTCCACAGGCGCAGGGCCCTGCCTTTCGCTCCCTCATCATGTTCCCAGCGCCCAAACCTGGCCTCACTTGTCCAGGAACGACGATGGAAGGACACCTAGCTTGTAGCTTGGGGCCCCGGACAGGCAAATTCATTTCTTCGCCATTTGGAAAGATCGGTTATGCTTAGCTACTCTCCCCACCTTCCGGGGGCAGAGACGCACATCAAAAGCGAATGCAGGGAACACGCCCGCGAATGCAGCAGTAAGGGCAACCCGAACGCCATTCCCGCGGGGGCCGCAGGGCGCCCTTTCCCTGCACCCCGCCCCGCCCCTCCATTTCCTAGCTCCCGCGCCCGGGGGACCAGCAGGCGCGCTGCGGGCGGCTCCGGCCCGCGTCTGCGCCCGCCCGCCCCGCTCCGGCCCGCGCGCGCCCGCCCGCCGCCCGCCCCCGCCTCCCGCCTCCACACGCAGCGCAGCGCCCGCCGCGGGACTCGGCCGCCGCGGCAGCAGGAGGAAGGGGAGGCGCCGAGGGAGGCGTCCTCGCCGCCGCGGGAGGCCGCATCGCCGTCCCGTCACGGCGTCGGCGCGGACCGGGGCCGAACCCGGAAGTGGCCGAGCCGCGCGCGCCGCCCGCCCGCCAGTCAGTCCGTCGGTCCGTCCGTCCCACCACCACCGCCCCGCACTTGCGAGCGAGCGCGGGAGCCGCGCAGCACACGGAGCGCGCCCGGCCGAGCGGGCCATGGCTGCGGGGGCCGCAGCCGCCGCAGGTGGTGGCGCGCGGTGAGGCGAGCGCGGCGCCCTCTCCGGGGCGGATGGAACGCGGCTCGGCGGCGGGCGGGCAGTGCCGGCGTCCGCGGCTGGAATGGTGCTGGCGGCGGCGGTCGGTGCCTGCGTTCTGAAGCCCGAGAGGAGCCACAATGGAGACGCCGCCGCTGCCTCCCGCGTGAGTGAGCGGGCGGGCGGGAGGCTGTGCCGCGGCGAGGGGCGCGCGCTGCGGCGCGGGTCGCCGGCTGCCCGGTGTCCGTCGGCCGAGGACACCGGGGATGGCGGGAGATGTGGGGCGTGACGAGGCCAGCGCGGGCGGAACTCAGCCTCGCCCGGCGGGTTTCCCCGGCCAGGAGCTTCGGGATGGGGAGGCTCGCCCTGCGCCCAGCTCCCCTCCAAAATGCATGAGCTGCGGTGCCCGGCTCGCCCACCTTGGTTCTCCTAGGCGGACATGGCAGGCACAGGACTTGGCTGGAAAAAAAGGAACGGAAAAGTGCTAGACGCCCGGTGTCCAAAGGCATGGATCTTAGGCTACCGGATTTCTAACAAAATTGATATTTGAGGAGCTTTTACATCACTCTCAATGAGCTGCGGCCGTCCAGGGCATGTGACCTCTTACCTGGCACTGCAGACGATTTTAATCCAAAAATCAGAGCATCTTGTTGCCTTGGTACCTAGGGCAAATTAGTAGTGTATCGACCTGCCAGACACAGGTGTCTTCTTTTTCTTGGTGCCCCAGTACATTCAGGATCACCTGCAACAAAATTACTTTCTAGAAATAGTAACAGCTGAGAAATGGTGTGGAAGATATCATGGCGTTATTCAGTACAAGGTGTTTTTTTTTTTTTTTTTTTTGGAAATATTTTGCTGAGAGTGGATTGACTGTAAACCCCCAGGAGTTTTGAAAAATTCATTTTTGTTCTGCTTTTCTTAGTTTTAACCTTTATGAAGGAACAAGAGCCTTTCGAGTCCGACTTTTCAAACCGCAGATGCCTCATCCTCAACGTCGTTGAACCTTTTCTTTGGGGTTACTCATGGAGTCTTAGCGTTTTTCGGTTACATTTAGCCAACGTCTGTCTCAGCATGGCAGTTGTACCGCACCAGCCTCTTGTGGCTGTTTGGCAGAATTCCAACTAAAATATGGATATTTGGTTTAGGCTGATTTTTTTTTTTTTTAATGAGTCCTCTTAGGAGAACGAATGGGATTCTGGAACTACAATTTCTGAAAGTGCATTACAGAATTTTGAGCTTGAGTGGAACAGGTCATGGGGATCCGAGGAGTAGATGACAAAACTCTTGGGTGGCCCCTCCTGGGCTGACAGAAGCTGCCACTTGATTGCTGTGACTCCGAGGCTCTGTGATCTGGTCTCCAGCAGGCTGGAGAAGGCTCCCGAACCCCTACGAATATGATGGTGAATTGGTGTCTTCAGCAACACGTGATGTTTCTGTCCAGACATTGTGTCTGATAGATAATATGTAGTTATGTTATTTGCAGTAAAGTACCCCCTTTTCTATCAGTTCTCTGAGGTCCCTTTTTACTTTTGGAGCCTCTAGAGTGAACTAAAGGAAACCAGGGGATCTGAGAATGCAAGTAAAAAGAAGGGTGTGGGAAAGCAGGTTCTAGAAGGAGGGAGTACAGACAGAATGATTTCAGTTGAAAAATGAAATAGATGTGTGCATGCTAGTATTGATGAACTGAATCTAGGGCAGGTCAACTAAGTATGATTTTGATGTCCAGCACAATTCTTTGGTACCCAGACTCCCATCATTAGCTGTGGGACAATGAGAAGTTGGATACAAGGGGAAACCTGGAGTGTCAGCGTGGATGAAGGAATTGTTGAAAAGCCTTTCAGTCATGGGTGACCTAAGGGGCTAAGACTTTTTCGTTGTTTCCAATCTTTTAATTAAAAATACAAGTAGGTTTTTATTTTCATTTAGCTATTTCAGAATTAACCTTAATTCCAGAACTTGTTTTGGTGTTACCCTTCTGTAGGTCAGAAGTAGTTTTTCTCCTTCCCACACTCTGGCCTGTTTGCCTCTATTCTCATTAACTTCCTTTCACCCTGGATCAAGGATTCTCCATTTGAGAAATGCAGGTAGTGCCTTTGGGAAGGGTTCACTGTGCCTCACTGCCAGAGGTGGATGGGGATGGAGACTAGAAGGAGTTTCTGAGCGTGCTCAGAATTTGACAAGGTTAGATTTTCATACTGAGCTCTAAGGCAGAGAAAGATGTTTGACCTGGGCTTTAAAAGTGCCTTGGATGATGTGCTTAGAAGCAGGCTCAGAATTGTCTTTGTGCGAGTGTCTGTGTATTAATTCATTCAGTGCGCAAATATTTGAATGCCTGTTGTGCCTGGCACTGCGTGTGGTGCTTTTGTTTGCAGCTTTTTTTAACAGCCAAGTTCACATTGTCCTCTTGTCCTGCCCTGCTCCCCTTTGACCTGTTGGCACACTGTCTTGGGGGATATATATCAGTCATCTGTGTCCGGCTTTCTCTTTCCTTCAGGATGACCTCCTTGACCTCCTTTTGATCTCTTGTGCTTCATCTACTCCACGCCTCCCAAGTTCTACTCATCCCTTTATGGTTCTCATGTTGTCATCAGACTTTATATTTCTGCTTATTGTGATTTGCATCCTTGAGTATATGTGACATTTAGAGTCTGTTGCATTTTGGGGTCTGGGTGATAATAAGACTTTGTGACCTTTGCTTCTGGTCAAATCTGAAAAGTGTGCAACTAAAAATTAAGTGTCAATTAGTAAAGGAATTTCTAGTAAGTTGAGCTATGCAACAGGAAATTAAGCAGATCAGCCCTGACCTCAGGAATGTTTTACACAAAAATACAGCTTTTCTGGGATTTTCATAATTACTAAGTTGAAGGAGGACTGTGTGGTATAGGACTCAGTACATCCCTTTGACCTCCCCCTCACTGAACAGTTTTCTTAGTCCTTGTTTTCTTACTGGTTCTTTTTTCATAAATCAGTTTTTCTACAGGCTTTGCTTTTTTGCTTTTCTTTACACAAGCAAGTAAAACATGCCTCAGACAGCTTTGTCTCTTTTCAGTCAATGATTCCACATCACTGGCAACTCAGAGGTGTTCAAATAGACAACTCGTGGGCCATGCTTAAAGGGACTCAGGGCAGCAGGAAGTTGATTGGGTTAGAGCAGAGGTTTTTGGATTTCATTGATCTGTGTATTTAAAAAAAAGTAAAATCTAACATAGAAGTGTTAAGTTTTTTGTTTTGCCAAGTGAAAAAATTATTGATAAAACAAAAATTATTGAGCTGGGCGTGTTGGCACTTGGGAAGTTGAGGTAAGAGGTCTGGAGTTTAAGGCCAGCCTGGGCTACATAATTGAGACCCTGTCTGAAAAACAAAAAACAAAACAAAACCCCTAAAAATCAACCAATAATTACCAATTATTACCACTTTTTTTTTTAAATGAAAGAAAGGGGATTTTAATACCTCTTCTCAAATATAGGAAAGGACATAGTCCTGACTGAGGAATAGTCTTTAAGTTGAGTAAATTTAGTTCTATGAAAACTTGTTGCCTTAGCCTCATTTTGTCACTGAAACTAAAATTTTATTGAAGCTCTTTGTATTCCATTGGACCAGATGACTTTAATGTTCTGTGTAACATTGAACTGGTGCTGGTGCTGGTGGCTCATGCCTGTAATCCTAACTACCTGGAGGCTGAGATTGGAAGGATTTCAATTTGAGCCTCTGTTTTGTAAGTGTGAAGCCCTGAGGTTGAACCCCAGTCCCCCCTGCCCTCCAAATTACTCTAATATTCATTTGTTTTGTCTTTTATAAAGTACACTGGAGTGAATTCTTGTTTGTGTTTATTAGTTCCAAATGTAAGTTGAGCATTTCTCATATCAGAGGGGAATTTCCCCAGTGATAGGCAAAGGTGTTTAAAATATTTAGGAGCAGTAATGACCTACAGGTAATGGTGAAGGAGACATGAGTGAATGTGGTGAATGTGTGCTGAAGGAAGTGGTCTCTGTTGGGATGATTTGGAGGTGCATTTGGGAGCTTCAAGAATGGGTTCTGGAAATAGGTAGCATTTTTTGCAAGGGGGCAGTACTGGGGTTTAAACTTAGGGCTTTGAACTTGCTAGGTGGGTGCTGTACAGCTTGAGCCAAGCTTCCATTCCTGGAAATAGGTAGCATTTATGTATAATCTTAAAAATATTTGCTGCTGGGAAACCCATCCCTAACCCCCAAAAAGCCCAGACCTCTTGTTTTTGATTCGCATTCTGTGGTGTATGTGAGAGACATTCAAAAGATATTGGTAAGTATATTTTGTGAAAGTGATGATAAATTTACTCATGTGTGGTTATTGTTGATCTGCTAAAGCAGTGTTTATGAAAACCATTGAACTTTCTTATTTTTTTTTAGAATTTTCTTTTTATTAGTGTATATTGATTGTACACAGGAGTTTCATTGTGTATTTTAATCCATGCCGAAGTTCTTACGATTTTTCAAGGTGATGCAGAGAAGGAAAATTGCCTTTTTTTTTTTTCCCCTCTGCTATACAGACTGGCCTGGAACTCACTGTGTAGCCCAGGCTGACCCTGACCACCCAATCTTCATGCCCCAGCTGAGACTACAGCTGTGTACCACCACCCACCGTGTCTGGCTCAGTGCTTTTTTATTTAGTCTACTAAGTACCAAATGTATTTACTGTTTATGATCTGGCAGTTCAGTTTTTTTTTTTTTTTTTTTTTTTTAGATTCATATTTGCTGAGTGCCTGCTATGCCCAGGTTTGGGAGACACCTCCGAAAACAAAGACTTTTTTTTTTTTTTCTCATGATTGAAACTAATAGTAAACGAATATACCATACGGGAGGTGGTAGAAAGTAGTGAGGAGTGGAGAGCGACAGTCCTGATAGGATGAGAGTGTCTTTGAGGTGGCATTTGAGCAGAGACCAGAAAGGAGGAACAGGTCCAGGTAGAGGGGATAACAAGTGCAAAGGCACTCTTGCATTCTTTGCCCACTGAGACAATCGCTATAGACAGCGGGTCAGCATGCTTTCTGTGTGATATCCTCTACTGGCATTGGCTAAAATATTCCTTGACTGGTTCCTTTCACTGAGGCTGCTGCCTTGAAAAACAAGCCTTTGCTTTCCATGACACCATTTTTTCTTTGGTTCCTCCTTTAGTTTTTAGGTTGCTGAA